AATCTAAACCATCATATAATTTACTCCTTGTATCACCATTTATACAAGAAGGCATTTCTATACCAATCTAATTAATATTATATCCTTATTTCTTTTCGTCTTTATGATTCTGTTATTGCAGGCTAAACATCATAAGATCTAAAATATATTCAAAACGACTACTGTTCAGGCAGTGGATGTGACCTAGGCCTTGCACGAAACTTAGTTTTTATTGTCTGTTTGCCGTATGAGAACACGGCGCGGTGAGTTCAGTAAAACTACAAAATAGAAAACTAAAGAAAATAGAAAGCGAATTGAAAAACACCTGACTCTAATCTGAATACGGATTGCAAAAGATAGAAATGAAATGAAATCTAATGGGGTTTAAAGTCCTACTGCACTGCTCCGACTGGACTGATGAAGACGGGCAAACGAAAGAATACCAAAAACAATTGGAAAAACTATAATTAGCTTGTTTTGTATTTGGCTTGTCCAAAAACTCAATATCATCCAAAATCTTCGACATTGAAAACACGAAGTTTTTTGCAATTTAAATCAGCATTGGTGTTGTGAACTTACCGGGAAAAGATGGGCTTCCGATATCCAATATTTAAGACAAAATAAACATTTTACCATTGGTACACGAATCGTGTACCATTATGCCTTTCAGCGCCATTTGTAACAAGGTGCTCAAAGAATGAGGCTAGACATATTCCACAAGTTATGTCAAACGGTGATATCATGTTCTTATTTGGAGAGCATGCGCAATAAATAATATCGGCGTTGACTAGAATAACCAGATGCTAGAAAATGACTTGCGGTTGAGACTTCTGGCGTATTTCGCCGAACATAACTGATGACAATTCACAGTAAAACGGACACGATTGAATGTAAAACAGTTTATATAAATTCATATTACATTATTATATGAGTTGCGACCCGTTTGTGCCAATTTCTAGGCACAAAATATTAGCGATTTAGCTCCTTAAAGTTGGGCAACATATATAAATACGGAATACAAAATGAAAATCGAATTCGAAAAACATCTGGGTTGTTTTTGCACTGACTTGTCCAAACTTATCTTGTTTGTTTGGTGTACAATATATATATCTCGGTGATATTAAGATTAGACTATATTTAATATTCAAACATATAGATTTAAAGTGTCTCCGTTGTTAAGTAATGTTAATACATATTGGTTACAGGTATATATCAAGCTACTTCTGAACTGAGATTAATGATGGTTTAAATACAATATGTTAAAGTTCCTCAGAAACAAATAAAAATCATTTGATACTTGACTGACCTTAACCCACAAAGATTTTGCTTTTGAAAAGAAAGTCGATGGAGGGGAGAGGGGTGTCACCGGTTTGTTTGTGTCTTTTTCATTGGTTTTTGACTTTTGAAAATCGATGAATTTGTTATTAGTTTGTTAGTGTTTCAAAGCCTTGTGTGCATTCTTCTCTTTTTAATAATCTGATCATGTTGTATTGTTTTATTAGATTATGTCGCCTTGAAGCCATTAGCAATTTTCCTTTTAGCAATATGATCCCTTGCCTTCATATTTGAGTATATCATGACATCACTTCACAGGTGAAACGCACATATTTACATAACGTCAACGTGCAAAACAAGATGGTCGCCATGCTTGACTTTTTCTAACGTTCTTAAAATAGAAAGTCGCTTGACATAACGGTATAAATTCGGGTCAAGGTGTAACTCGAGGACGAGTGAAGTCGAAAATCGTTGACTTTACATTACTAATTGAAGGATGGACTCGTTTTGCAAACCTGTTGCCTTTAAATGTAAAATTTGTGGATGGTCAACGCTGAAATATTTGCTTTTGAATATATATATGCCAATTCACGAAAAATAACATTCCGAGGTACCAATCAAATATATATTATACGTTGAGAAGCAACCCTTATAACCAGTGAAGATTAGACGAACTCCTTTGGTGGTAATAAACAAATTTATTGGTAAACAAGTGGTGTCCTTCGTCGTCTTCCTGAAACCCTTATGTATCGCTGAGAACCCAGTCTAGATGTCCTCCTACTATTAGTCTCCAGCTACATTAGACCTACTTTACGAGAGTTGTCGTCGTTTTCCACAGCTTGTTTCATATAATATATTAAACTTGTATCTGCGGGGTGGAGTGTAAGACTGACCAGACTTACCGAAATAGACAAATACAATATAAGGGTGTTCAGAAGACGTATTCAGATAATCATAATTTTGTACGTGTCACTTAAAAGCAAAAAGCGCATTTTTGACATGCGAATAAAACCATCCGAGCAACTTATACTCTTGCTTTAGGAAAGGCATGCACACCTGAGTAATATATATAATGAGTAATAAATTATAGATATAATTTGACATATCATTCTGAAGAAGGTGTGTCTTCATGACCCGCTTCTTTTAAGAAACTTTGACCTGACGCCTACCTACATACGACAATTAAACAAATACAAACTTACCTACATGTCTACTGCACGTAGGTAATATATAAGGCCAAACAAATTATTATCCATTGGTTGGTTAGGGTGGGGTCGTTTGATCTAGTGCTTTAATGCGTGCGCGTGAAATCATAAGGCCTGTCATTGATTGAGTCAAGATTCCCCGCTTGAACCTGACAAGGAGTAGGGTCGCCTGTCCAACCTCGTGGGTTTTCTCCGGATCCTCCAGTTTCCTCCCACTGTTAAAGAACCCTACGCGCAAGCCAATTATTGAAATAGAATTGAACTGTATCTTAGTCCCGAAATGCCTCTCTCTAACTCTGACGAAGGAAAATAACGCCTTTCTTCTTCACAAAATGAAGTTATAATCGCTTTCTTCGGCAGTTGGGGTTAGAACATTATTATTACTAAAAGGAATGTATTTAACGTCAAATGTTATACCTCTATATCAGCTTCGGCGACGGAACCCCCAAGAGTAAACTGTCGTCCAGAGAGTTGCAGTTGAAGTCAGGGCCCCCAATATTAGTTAACTAGTTTGTGTGTGCTATAAATATCGATTCCAGGTGAGAACTTTATTAAATCTACAAAAAGGGAAAGCTAATAAAGTGGCCGTTAACCCACAGAAATCATTTTGTGCATGACCAGTAAGAAAAAAATCGTCTGGTAGACGTATTCCTCGTATCATGTTGAGATCTTGCTAGTCTGTGAACTTCTAAAGATCATACATTGTCTGGTGTTATGTATTACAGAACAAAAAGACCCGAGAATTAAGATAAAGATTAATTTTAACTGGGCCTAAGATATACCATAGATTGACTAAACTATACTGTTATCAAGTTATGTACTTATATAAAAAAAAATTTGAGCAAGCGAGGTGTATTTACATAAAACTTGACACACATGTCAACACTTTGATGTGATACAAATATATAATTGCAGACATAACCAACACAGGTGAAAGAAATGTCTGATTACATCTTACATTTAGACAACCCGTAAATAGCTAATTTATCGCTTGACTGAACGTTGGAATTTTTTGTAAAAAATTTTTTTTAAAGAAGGACAATAAATTACCCCGAGGCACTATTACTATGACCTACTGAACACCTATTTGTGTCGAGATAACCATGTAGCTGCGGCGTTCTAATTTTCGTTTCTAAACAGCTATTTTAAAAAGTTATCAAATATATAGTCATTACTTCCAAAAGAAGGACAATAAATTATCCCGAGGCACTATTACTCTGACCTACTGAAAACACATTTGTGTCGAGATATCTTGTAGTTGAGGTGTTCTAATTTTTATTTCTAAATATAGCTATTTTAAAACTTATCAAATATAGTCATTACTTTTAAGTAAATTAAAAGTAAAGAAGTAGTAAGGAATGTTTGTATAATTTGGGCAAACTGGCTCGTGTGTCCAGCAAACACTTATCTTTAAGCACACTATAATATGTTTCTTGCGTGTTTGGATTATTATGGTAGAAAAGGCAAACCTCTTTATGTCTTTGCTAATAATTAATACTTTTTAAATAGTTTTAGTAGGCACATTGAAGTGAACTGCCGAAGATTTAGCAGTAAAAATGGGCGTGTTCGTTTCGTTTTATACACATTACACACGACTAACTATCTGTACTTTGTACTTTAATTAGAGATGTATAGCTTTTGTGTTGACACCTCGACAAGATTGGTTTTGTCTGTGCTGTATTATTTACAAGGTGGTTGTGTGTGGGTGGGGGCTGTCTAACACGTGCGCTTTGGATCATAAGATCTGTCATTGAGTCAATTGGGATGGTTTCGATTCACAGCGTGTACGTGACATGGAGTAGGGCTGTCTGTCCTCCCGTTTCCGTCCACTCTAAAACAACCTACTCGCAAGCGAATTATTGAAATAACATTTTACCATGTTAGTCCCGAAAAGGCCTAGTTTGTGTCCAGTGGACGTTAAACCCCATTTCTTATCTCATACTCTCATTATTTACAGTCTGAATAGTATGGAATATTTCATTTTAATTTATCCAGTTACTGAATGCAAAATTACAACAAAACTTTCTTAGTTGTGCGAAATTCTCAAATGATTAAAATTTGAGACGAGACCTTCTAGAAGTAAACATAACCTGTCTTGAGCATGACACCTATAGAATACAATTTGGACATGAATGCCATAATCTGAAGGCGAACGCTGGGCTTATGCGCGCCAGCACAGTCACATAGCAGTAAAAATAAAAAAAAGAGTTAACGACGGCCAAAACAGTCGATTGGCTAGCATGGGTGGGTCAGCGGAGAATAGCCCCATTGCACCCTCCTCAGCCTTTAAAAATGTCCTTATTTATAAGTTACTAGAAGAATGCCCGGCTTCGCTCGGGGGTCATAACCCCGAAACCGGAAGTGGTAGACTAACGCCACCTGGCCTATGTTATTCCCCGGCCCGAGCTACCCCTATACCCCAAATTTCAGACTCGGGGCAGACCTAGTGTAGCCGCCAACCCCGAACAGATAGACAAACGACAGTCACATATATTAGTATAGATTTATCCATACATGTTTCAAATCAAAGAAACTAAACGATAAAATAACGAAATGTTTTCTAAAAATATGCAGGGAGAAGGGAACATGCCTAGGTGGACACTGTCCAAAAACTATGAACTTCGCTCCGATCAAAATTCACTAGCGCTTGGTTAGGACCTGTTGGGAATTCAATTTTATTGTATTTTAATTTATTTTAGTTTCACAAAGCACTTGTTTGTATATTTCAGTCGTGTCATTTAACTACATCGTCTGTTTTGAAGATCAGGTTGACATTAGCGATCGCAATTGTCAAGTTATTTTGGTTTGTTTTGGGTTAATCCCTTGGTGTTTACTTATTACTGCACAGTGTCAACATGAAAGTTAAATAAACATGCATGTCACAACAAAACTAGACGAAATAAGACCAAACAAGCTGCAATCTGCATGTATATCTTAAAGGTGCACTTGGGTTTTTTTTCTCTCTCTGTTTCCGTTTCAGTTAAAATAAATATTAGGCTTACATTCCTTTTTGCTACAACCTGTTTCATAGCATGTGATCATTTATAATGTTTGTTGAAGCATCGGTTCAGTTCGTGTAAATGATAAGATTGAGACTAGAATAGGTTTTACCATTGCACAAGAGATATCGCCTGATATCTGAACGGAAACGGGTTTAAATTCCCATTTATCTGCTCTATCCGGGTTCATTAAAACGGACACACGCCATGCACTGTGCAGTGAGGAAAATTTAGACCTACACTTGTTTCGAATTTCAACTGTCGGGAAACATGAGGCCTCGTTGCCAGGCCATCCGTCCTGCACTAACTACTGAAATGGGGAAATCATGCCGGAATATCACATGAAACTTTCTCTGCCAGTGGTGCAGGACGGAGGGCCTGACAAGGCAGTGTCTGGAACGAACGCGCACGTGAAAGTACCTTTGGTGGTTAGCATTCGTTATAAATGTTGATCGTAGCGCCGATGTCCGCGCAAAATTTACCTCGGCATACTGTATGGCGTTAGTCTGCATTCATTAGTCCAGTAGGTGCAGAAAAATAGGACGTTAAACCACATTGCATTGCATTGAATATTATTGGGTAATAAATAAAATCTCATAGTCCTTGGTTGTTTGTTCCTTTGTTTTCAATGTATTGTTCCAAACTGATATTGGGTGATAAATAAGATCCCACACTTATCTTTTAGGTATTCATTATACCAGCACTCATCGATGAAGCAAATGTCCTTCAAATTTTTATAAAGTTTCGACGTGTGTTGATATGTTTGATGTCATAAATCACTTTAAATCAAAAGTTTATATCGTTATTTTATGGCATCGATAAACTATTAATATTTTTTATTGATTAACAGTATCTTACACAGACTGATAAATCATGTATACGGGAAAAAATTACGGCGACATTTAGAGAAAACTAACACACATATTCCAAAAGCTATACTAAGAAATGGTCCTAAATTTTCGAAAATTAATTTTTTTAAAAGTCATCTTTAAAATTCATTAACCTATCTTGAAAATTCCATAAAATATCTTGGAAATTGAAGAAAACTTGGTGTGTATGAAACGAAGACACGACGGAAACGCACACACACACAAGAAAAACAACAACTATACACCCCCATTTTTGAAGCATGTTGGATCCGAAACTGGTCCCCAAGCGCTACTCTACGATCTACACACATCCAAGATGACTGCAATGACGTCATCCTCTGTTCCTGGACGATATAGTAGGCTCGTACCTAAAATTTATCAACGTATAATTTAATGATTTAGTTGCATTCATTAAAACACAACGACCATCTATATCGAATGTAAACACTGTTTTACTGTTATATCATGGTGATACATTTTGAAAAGTTTTTTCTTGATCATTCTCGAGCACGCACAAAAATATACAACACTTGTCGCAACGTCGCCATATTTTGTATAATAAACCAATTGTATTCCATATAAATGGTCTTTATGTGCAATTAGCAAATAAGAAAGGGTGGGCCTTCCTCTTCTGCATTTCAAAGAGAGAACAGAAACAATGAGCCTACTACTACCAAATCACAATTTATACTTCAGTTTAACATTTTTTACATATTTTACTTGAAATGTGTTAATATTAGCATGACAACAACAGGAAAGTCTCCATAGTTTACGCACTTTCTGTCGAACAGTGGGGATGGAAAAATACCTCACAAATGTTTTTATAATCTATTTATATTCCTGGGCATACCACCAAAGAATAAGAACCAGACATATTCGAATTGAAGTATACATTTTTGAGGAGTTCTTTGTTATTCAATTTTAACTTATCCAATGAAAATATAGAGAAATAGAGAAGGCAGAACCCATTATATCTTTGCTAATTGTTTGTGTGAACACGCTAAAAGAGATGATATGGAATGATTGAAAGACCCGCTTACTCTGGCGACGCCTGGATATTCCGTTCGAGGTGGGAAGAGTTGAAGAGGGGAACGCCCTCTTGACAATAGAACTTAATCTGTCCCATTAATAAAAATTAGCAGTATTAATTAGTACTTATCACCTACAGTAATTAATAAATTAAAAACTCATTACTTTACTAACGTTCTTAGTATTACCTGTTAATAGTGAACAGTTTCATCTCATTAACAAATCATATTCAATTAATTACCCTAACCGTATCTGGTTATAGTTTAAGACATTCCACCTGTGCTATAAACCCACAGTTAACATTGAGTATATATATATACTTCACTAATCAGATACGCCCCTTTTCTAAATACGATATAGATACACCAAATAAACATCTTAAATGTTTTTGATTTCTGAATTTATTTCTCCTCTAAAATCAAACAAAACAGCATCTTGAAATAAATGTGATCAATATTTATCTCCAGACCAAATTGTACTCTACTCATGGCTCTAATAGCCAATATAATACAACCGTAAGTTATTATATTCCCTACTTTCAACACACATAACATAAGACAATTTATTAAGTTCCTGACGTTTTCGTTGTCATTAAGTATGGTTTTACGTATATACTACGCATGGCATTTCGAATCCAAATTTAAATTACCCATTTTACCATGGTATGTTTTCCTGCTTTTAACACATACTTTGAACTTATTATCTCCTGTTTACATTTTTAACAACACAACACGAAAAATCCAGAAACAGTTTAAACCATTGCATAATCCAAGCTAACCGCTATATTGCAAGGCACATTGTTTCATTTTAAACCATTTATTTAAAACCTAATACCGACCCACACGCAACTCGCGAATTTACAAAGGGCCATTCAGTTTTAAATTTTCCTGTGACAAGCCTTTGTCCTAAATTACAAGCTTTCTTGCGATTTACACAGGTTTTTACAAAACAACACGAAAATCTGGAAACCGGTACATTGCTTTAGCTACTCGCTATATTGCAGGACCCCGTGTTTCCTTAAAACCTTCGTTAGAACCGTATACCGACCCACACGCTATCCCGCGAATTTAAAAAGGGTCATTCAGTTTTAAATTTACCTTGGGCAAGCCTTTGCCCTGAACCTAAACGCATTTACCGCGATTTTACACAGGTCCATACCGTAACCGGTTAAACACATACACATTACTTGAACAGAACAGTACATTACATTCATTTACAAAATTCACGTCTAAAACACCCCTCTAGACTTTCGAAATGTTATTACGATCTATGCATCCGAATAATTCTTATGGAGTTTTGCGTTCTTCCTGCCTAGACCAGAGACATCACTTGTTTTCTTTTACCTAGCTTTACTGTTTCAATTTTAGGAATATTATTTATTCCTATGTTTATAGAAAACCCATGTTTCAACCTAAACCTTATTTTCCCCCTATTTACTTAGATTTTCTTAATTTAATTATTTTAACTTTTTATCGTCCTTTTTAACCTTTATTTTCTTTACAAATCCCTAACCTCTAAAATACCATTAAATCTATCCCTTGGTCTTTTTGTCTTTCCATGGTCAGTTTACTAGGAAATATGTAATTACCTAAAAACGACTGGAAACTTCTTCTTGCAAGGATTTCCTCCAGGGTCGACATCCTGGTCACGGCGCCAAAAAAGAGGGGACTGTAACACTATCCTGTGTCTCGGCAACAAAAAGGAATGGGATAGATGGGACTATCTTTCGTCACGGCACTAAAAAGGAATTAGCTATGACATTATAGATGTGACACTTTCGTCTATTTCTTTCTTCGACTTTACGTTGTGGGATCAATTATTTCAATCATCAATTAACTGACTCTGGAACACCGTTTATGTTGTTACTAAGTTTATACTTTTCGAGTTATTAAATATCCACGGTCTGAGTTTAATATCCTTTCTATCTCAGACCAGAACGGCTTAAACGTGGCAAGAGCCACATACTTCTTGATAGTTCTACATAAAGTTCGCGCTAGGATGATGTGTTCACTCTAGCCTCTAAGCCGAGGAGGCTACGATGTTCCCCTCTCGGGCCGCTCTATGATATCTGAAGGTAAATCAAATCAGCTCCCTCCTATATAGAGGAAGTATAATGTGTCATATATTAGGGCGGGAAAATTACCATTTTTGGGTAAGTGTTTCGTAAAGGCACCGTTTTACGTCAACAATATTCTAGTTTATTGTACTAATCCGTGCACGAGATGAGTGGACTATAGTACCCTACTTCCAGCAATTGATACTGACATAACTGTCGGTGAGTTAGTCTAAGATAGTAGTAGAATAATGCAAGCTACTTCATTACCCTAGTTTTCGTCACACATCATGTAGGTAACGAATTTCTATATTGAACAGAACACCTTTCTTATAACTGAAATAAAGCCTATAGTATTACAAATGTCCAAATCAGAAACGGGGGTAATGCCACGATCCTATTTTGTTTCTGTATCCATACAAAATATTTGGACAAGAGCCTGATGCATATCCGATTCGTGAATGTCAAAATGTTGAATAAACTTTATGGTTTTATTAACAGTTTCCGTTCCGTTCCGCTAATATGCCTTGCGTCTGAGGTTATGTACATGTCGAGTTTTATAGACACGAATACTTCGGTGAGGAAATAGATGGAAGATCATATCTCTAACATATTGCACGTATTATGAATATATATATAAACGTTTACCTATTAGATATATCTACTGCCCTCTTAAAGTCACATTCGTACGGCTAAATGTCTGCTAGCAATAACTGCTTTCTGTTATTTGCGTCATCTCCCGATTCTCCAAAACTTTGTTACAGATCTCGCTAAGTTTAAATTGTTTGGAATGTGCTTAATAAGTTCTCTTACATATGTAAAATTGTTGGACGCCAACATTAATAATGGTGACGGGAGTGTATACCGTGTCGGCTTAAGCTTGCACGGGTTCCCTGGCTGAATAGTGAGCAGAGAGCATATTCCGGAGCACCCCCATAGTAGCCTTACTGTAGCCGCGAAAATTGTATGCCCCCCCCCTCCGGTAACATAAACTATGACATATTTATTTATGGTAACAATTCGGGGGACCCTTATTGGGACTCCTGGCTGCAGCTTGTAACCCCACCCTCTAATCAGATCCCAGGTGTATAAGGTAACAAATTACAACAAACTTCTATTTTCGGATCTATATTCCTTGATTAGCAATGGTAACTGGCACTGATAATATGTCGAACAACGCACTACACCGATTTGTCGTTACAGCATTTCCCCAGTCAGTGCATGTCATGCACGATAATTCCCTATCGCCGTCAATACTAACGCCATACAATACTACTACACACTACTTCATTATTGTGAAAAAATGGCAAAATCAGAGGGGTTTTTTAGCAGCTGAGCTGATTTGTCGGCGATAGATTGGCTTCTGACAGTGCATATTATATGGCAAAAGAAACGTCGGGGACAACCTGTCGTGCTGTATGATTTACCACAAACCGACGATTATTTGTTGGCAATGGAGATATGTCGATAAATTAGCCTTCGTTTGCACAGGCTTTTACGTGGATGAAATAATCTTACATTTATATTGAAATTAACAGTTGCTTTATCGATTATGATAATTTAAGAACTCGAAAATAGTGCACGGTCATTCAGCAAACCTCGGCGCATACCGGTACCCTACATCTAACCTCGGCTGTATGGCGGTAAGTGATATGTAGCTACACCCATACAATTGTGATTGATGCAGCTACTGGTTTACATATAAAGAAAGCTTGTCGCTTTTAGAAAGAAGTTCTCAAAATGGCGTCGTTTGAAGAGTGTGTAGAGTTTTCTTTGCAAAGTTGTCCTTTGTTTAAAGAAAATCGGATAAACGTGAAAGAAAATCATTCAGACATTGAAAGATTTGTATGATGGTCAGGGGTGTGTATATGAAACACTCTTCACAGGCATCTTCATGGGCACCGCCATTTTTTAATCCGGGAACTTGAAAGTAGTTCCAATGGCAGAATTCGTCATACAGACGCGGTTAGATGTAGAGTACCGGAGTCTGCCGAAATTTGCCGAATGATTGCGTAACTTTGATTACAATGTCTCTTAAAAAAACCTATGACGACCTTTAGGAATATTGTAATTTGTTGTTATATCATCGATAGCCGATACCAAGCACGATACCAGTTTTAGTCCATAGTACGCTCGTACTTATCAAAATAAAGCCGATGTGCATGTGACTAGCACGCGTGCGATTTGGTGAATATTACGTGTGTTTAAGATGCTATTGTATCCAGCAGGGCAACCTTTGTCTTAAATAAAGACAAGTACATACCAATACCTATACACTTATAACCATCATGTTCTACGTAAATAAATCACCAGACCGCTCACTTTACAAAAGCATTCTAACGTATATCCCTTGATGTACATGTATAATAATCTCTATATTTTCATTTATCTCTTGGGATGATTGAGGATATAAATTTAAAAATATGTTGCTGTGTATTTGCTTTACGCACTAGCATCACCTTTCACAATCTTTCTGGATTGGTAGCTAAAGTAATTTCAACTCTTGTTTCACACATGGCGGCTACCTCTTAACATAGATGGGTTACGAAGCATATATGCCCGTCGTCATTGGTCCTGTTGGTCCAGTAAAGAAGAACGTTAAACCTTATTACTTTTTTTACCTGGAATTTGAGTCAAATGTTAAAGAATTGGAGTTTATTTTTAATTCAAATAAACGGAATGAAAGAATTGTACTAGCCAACATCCTTCATTCAGATGACCCAAACCAATGATAAGATGAATTGAGATTTACTTATCCTTTTGGAGTGGCTGTAAAATATGTGCATGCAAATTGTATATAACCCAAACTCTAACCCGTGTGTATCGCGGTTTGTAACACGGGTGAATCTACGACGTTTTGGTTACAGAAGTTTTTAAGCCTAACCCTAACAAATTACCTCCCATTAGTACCAAATTGGTCAAACAGATCCTTGTATTTAGCCCCCACACCTTTCTCTTGATACGCCTGCGTGATAATGCTTAAATATTTGTTTACCACGTGATATAAGTACATTAACGTATCTTAATGCAAAACATTTGATTACATTATCTAATCATGTCATTATTTAAATCAAGGACACTTAATTATAACATACTGATGATAGTATTATTCAAACACGTAGACATTTAGGGGATCGCGTGACTAAGTGGGTAAGACGCTGGCTCGCTAGTCTAGCTGTAATAATGGGAATAGGTTTGGGCCAATATTTCAGAAACAAAC